GGTAGCTGGCTGTGACCAAGTAATGACCATAACCTTGCCCCTTGTCAGCTCTACTATACACCTGGGAATTCTGATCATTCACATGAACTTAATTGTCTGATTCTTGAAGGTGAAACAGGGCTTTAGTAACCAAGCATTACTCAAAATGTGATCCATGAACCAATTGCATTGGCATCACCTGGGAGTGTGTCAGAACCCTCAGCACCTCCTCAAAACTACTGAACAGAACCTAAATTTTTAACAAGATGCCCATGTTGCTCATGTGTACATTAAAGTTAGGAAGTACTACTTGAATGGTCTTCTCTCAGTACTTGGGGCAGAGAGAATTCCAGAGGCAAGATCCATACCAGAACTATGGCTTTTCCCTTTTTAGAAAAACATTTGATAAAAGTGGATGACGATCGAGAGGATGGTTCGGTGCTTCTGACTTGTGACTTCCTGGAAGATAAAAATGTCAGATGGTTTAAAGATGGAAAGGAAATGCATGGCTTAACTACAATGAAATGGAACCTGGGAAGTAGTACCAAGGACCCTCGAGGGATGTTTCAGTGCCAAGGAGCGAAGAACGCTTCACTCCAACTGTATTTTAGAAGTATGCAATACTCTTTGGTTGGTTTGTTGGTTGGTTGTGAAATTAAGTAGTACTTGCTATTCTCATGAGGTTCCTGCCTTGGGTAAGGATGGAAATAGATGCTAATCAATGATATAACAGCCAACTATCTTAATCTCAGTTTGCCTCTCTTTGAATATGACAAGACAGTTCCCCCAACATAGCCAGATCTTTCTGCAAAGCATGGCTTACTTTCTGGAGAGCCCCATGGATTAGATTAGTTCAGCTCCTTCTGTAATGTGGGGGAGGAGGGATAATGAAGAATAATTACAAGGTAAATAGCAGTATGGAGTGGAGAGCAGCTGAGCATGGAGAAGGAGATCTGGTCTTCCTCCAAATCTATATATTTCTTGGTAGTGAGATTACATGGGCTTCCCCAGGACTCCTGGGACAGAGAAACATTGAGTTCTTGGTCCAAGGGTCTTTCCCAGCAATTCTGTTGCCATATCATCCACAGAAGGAGAAGCCTACTGTCCCAGACAGAGGCATTATAGATGGCAGGCAGGAGGAAAAGATGCAGGAAAAGCAACTTTCCCAGCCTAAAGGAGGCTTGTCCCTGCTTTTTCCCACAGTGTGTCAGAACTGCATTGAAATGAATGCAGCCACGATCGTCAGCTTTATCTTTGCTGAAATCATCAGCATTTCCTTCCTTGCTGCTGGGGTCTACTTCATTGCTGGGCAGAATGGAGTTCGTCAGTCACGAGGTAAAAGAATGTTCTTAGATGAAAGATGTGACCACCTGGGACCCTCAACCTCCTTCCTACCAAGATACCAGATAAATAGAAGACACTGAGATGGCATGTGCTGCTAACGTGCATAGCAGTGAGGCCCTGTGTCTGGGACAGGAAAAAGGAATACCTGGTGCTATTACAGCATATTTGCCCATCTCCACATCTGACTCTCTCTAACCTGTCCTTGTGTTTTTAAAAACTTTTTATCAAAATGAAACACACATACATAAAAATGAATAAATCACAGTATACAGATCAAAGCACTTAACAAAGAAAACACACCCATGAATTTAGTACCTAGTTCAAGAATGTTACCAACACTCTACAAGCATCACCACCCTCCCCCACCTTATGGTCACTTCCAATAAGTACCTATCCCTAAGATTAAGCACTATCTAACATGGGTTAATTTTGCCAGTTTTGTTTTTTGTATAGACTTACATAGTAAGTACTTTTATGCTTCTTTTATTCAATAATATGCTTACAAGACTTACCCATCTTTTGTCGAGTACAGGCGCAGTTCACTAACTCTTACTACTATTTTATAACCCAATTTATTATCCATTGTATCTGTATATTATGTGTGTGTGTTCTGTTTTTGTGCAGCTTCAGACAAGCAGACTCTGTTGCCCAATGACCAGCTCTACCAGGTAAGGAAATTATGAATCAAAGAGACATAGAGGTGATAAAATTTTTTGATTTGGGGGCAGGTTATTTGGGGGCAAGGAGGGGTCGCTATAAGTCGGGCCAACTCAAGAGCACATAACAACAACAACAATACAGATAAGGAACTGTTTAAGGCATACCAGATGATGGGATAACTATCCCTTCGGGTGGTATGAATGAAATAAGAAATTGCAAGAGACTGAAGTCAGGACCTACTGAAAAAAAGTTGAAGAACACACTAAGACATACAGATACCCAAAAGAACTATATCCACAGCCTCCATCCCTTTGCCCTCTCTCTGCCCCAAGGATGGTGAGGCACCCATTCCAAAGCATTGTACATAAAAAGCACTTGATAAATATGCTTCAAATTAATTATTGATGATGGAGAAAAATTGGCTTATGATGATGCTGTCCTTTTCAGCCCCTCAAGGATCGAGATGATGACCAATACAGCCACCTTCAAGGAAACCAACTGAGGAAGAACTGAGCTCAACACTCAGAGTAGGTGTGTCCTTCAAATACCAATTCTAAGAAAAGTACTTTTGTATTACCCTCCCCAATCACCCCAATTGCTGCTAAGTCTATCCACCTGCCCCAACCAGCTATAAAGATCAAACTATGAGGTGGGGCTGATTGTAGAAGCCTTTTCTAAAGGCCCTGGGCCCATACTGATTTCCTTGGCCCATGGAGATATGCATGTTGCATATGTAAATCCTCATACAGCAAGCCTGAAGCAAAGGAGATGCTGAATAGGAATGTTAACCTGTATCAGCATTTCTCAACATCTGCACTATCGACATTTTGAACTAGATAATACTTTAGGGTAGGTGACTGTCCAGTGCACTGTAGGATGTTTGGCAACATCCCTGGCCTCTAACTACTATACATCAGTAGTACCCCTCATTCATGACAACCATTAGACCTTATATTCTAAAGCACTTGGTTTGTTGAAGCAGGAGCCCTTAATTCCATTTTGAGTCTCAACATAAGTTGAGATGCTATTTGAGCTCTTTATGTTGCTTCCCCAGTGCTTGCTGATCATTAAACCATCAATGCCGCTATACTTAGATGAGTTTGGGACAAGGCAGGGGTAGTGGGAGGGCGGGGAGCTGCTCAGACAAAGGCTTAGGGAACTTGCTTAGATATTTTTGGAAAGTAACCAATTAGATTAGAGTTTTCTAATTTTAAGTTAAAGGTTGGGGGTCCTAGTATTGTCTTGTAACCACCTTGGGGCTATGACTCAGGGTGCATGATCAAAGCCCCAGAACCAATCTTGTAACCCTTTTTACTTGCAATTATGCACATATACCAACTATGATCCTTTGAAGCATTCTATAGTCCTACCTGCGACAGTGATGGATTGACCTGCCACCAATCACGACCTTGTGATGATTTCCTTTGTTTTCTATCATATATAATGAATTCCATGACCATAATTCAGTGGATTCCATTGGCCTCTGTACTGTGTGCATGCTGATGGTTTCCCTCATCCAGGTGATTGTATTTGCTTTGTCTTTGTCCTATTTAAGGCTTAATAAAAGGATCTCTACAGAACATGATTGAATCTGGGGTCTTTTTCCCCTAGCACAGAGCAAAATGGGCCTTGGTTGAGAACCACTGACTTTTCAGTAGCCAATCCATTCGATCAGAAGTTTCAATCAGGAAAACAAGGCCACAAGCATTATTTTATTTTCTGAACCAATTGCAATTTTGCTTTTTCATTCCAGGTGTTCTCTACCCAGGTCTCAGTATCAAAGCAATAACACATTGTGGAGGAATTTTAACAGAGAGGCTTTCGGACCTAAATCTAGACTTGAGGTCCCCAGAGGTGACAAATAAAGAAGAAAGATCATCAAACCAATCTTGGATTTTTCTCAAAATTAGATAGGCAGATAGATAAAGACAGACAGATGTAAAATTATAATATGGTGTATCAGGAGTGCCACCTATTGGGAGCTAAATTGTCAGTAAAAGAGAAATGAAAAAGTCAAATAATTTAAACAGGGGTCACTCCAAGTTGGGATTCAGTAAGTTTGGTGTTTTGTTTTTGTTTTTCATTTGTATAGAATTTTTTTAGTTTTAATTTTTACTTAGTAAAAGTATTCTTTTACATAATTCACATGGCTTTGTATATAATTCACATGGTTTAAAATATGCACTGAAAAGCCACCCTCCACCTCCATTCCTGAGCCATTTAGTTGCCCTCTTCAGAAGCAAACAATATAACTAGTTTCTTATGTATCCTTTAGAAGGTATTCTAGACATATACTAAATTCTCAAATACAGAAGTTTTTCTCACTTCACTGTTTTCTACACAAAATAGTATCAAACTATACATCTTGTATTTTCACCTAATATTACTACATTATTACTTCACACCAGTATTAAAAAGCTTTTTTTTTTTTTTTTTGGCAACTACATTGTACAAATATGCTATAATTTATTTCATCAGCCCTCTACTGATAAAAGAGCTCTAGTAGTGCAGTGGTTAATGCATTCAGCTACTAACCAAAAGGTTGGTGGCTCGAACCCACCAGGTGCTCTGTGGGAGAAAGATGAGGCAGTCTGCTTCCTAAAGACTTACAGCCTTGGAAACTCTAGGGGGCAGTTTCTACCCTGTCCTGTAGGGTCACTATGACTCAGAATCAACCTGACAGCAAAGGGGTTATCTACTGATGGAACTTTAAGCCGGCTACAATATTTTGCTCTTACAATAAGGGCTAAGGTTGTATGTCATTTTAAAAAACAATTTTATTGAGATATAATTTACATGCCATAAAATTGACCCTTAAGTGATTTCACCTGTTTTCAGTGATTTTAAAATAAATAAATATACCCACTTTAACCATCATTGTAATCCAATTCTAGAACATTTTCATCACCCTCTTAAGATCTTCTGTGCTGTTTGCAGTTACTGCATTCTCACCTCAGCCCCAAGCAACCACTAATCTATTTTCTGTCACTTTAGATCTGCCTTTTCTGGACATTTCATATAAATGGAATCATACAATATATGGTCTTTTGTATCTAGATTTTTTCACTTAGCATCAGATTTTCAAGGTTCATCAATGTTGTAGCATGTATCAGTAGTTTGTTCCTTTTTATTGATGGATAGTATTTATTGTATGGATATACCACCTTTTGTTTACCCATTCACCAGTCAATGGACATTTGATTTGCTTCCACTTTTTAGTTATTATGAACAATGCTGCTATGAACTTTCTCTTTAGGTGGATCTGTGCTTTCATCTCTTTCTAAGAAACTGCCAAACTGTTTTCCAAAGTTGACATACTATTTTACATTCTCACCAGCAATGGACAAGGATTCCTGTTTCTCCACATCCTCACCAATATTTGTTACTGTTTGTCTTTTTTTATTACAGCCTTTCTAGTGGGTGTTAACAGTACTTGGGTGATCCAAGCAGATAATGAACTGTATTGCTACCAAAAGTTTGGAGATTCAAGTCCACCCAGAGCACCTTGGAAGAAAGACCTGGAGACTTCCAAAAAAATCAGCCATTGAAAAACCTGTGAACACAGTTCTACTCTGACAGAAATGGGGTCTTTGTGAGTTGGAGTCAACTTGACATCTGCTTTTGTTTTGGTTTTGTTTTTCTTTTAGCAGATGAAAACTGGTATCTTATTGTAGTTTCAATTTGCATTTAAGGACTAATGATACTGAAAATCTTTTCATGTACTTATTTGCCATTCATATATTTTCTTTGGTGAAATCTCTATTGAAATCTTGCCACCCTCCCCCTTTTTTTTTTATATTGGGTTGCCATCTTACTATTGAGATGTAGAAGTTCCTTATATTTCCTGAATACAAGTCCTTTATCAGACATATAATTTGCAAATATTTCTCCTAATCAATGGCTTGTCTTTCATTTTAATAATGCCTTATGAAGTGTAAAAGTTTTGAATACTGGTAAGTCCAATTTATCAATTTTTATTTTATGGATTGTGATTTTTATGTCAAATCTAAGATATATTTGATGAACTCAAGCCACAAAGATTTTCTCCTATGTCTTCCCCTGGCACTTTAACAATAAATGCTATTTTGAACATGATTAAGACTATCTGTAACATTAAATACAAATAAATGGAACTGCTCGGCCATTATGTATTTGCACTGTTGTTAGATGCCATCAAGTTGTCTCTGACTTATAGAGATCCTATACACAGCAGAACAAAATACCACCCAGTCCTGCGCCAGCTCCATGATCCTTGCTATACTTGTGCCCATAGCCACCACCACTGCATCAATCCATCTTATTGAGGGCCTTCCCCTCTTCTGTCGACCCTCCACCTTACCAACCATGACATCCTTCTCCAGGGAATGGTCCCTTCTAACAACATGGCCAAAGTAGGTGAGACGAAGTCTGGCCATTCTCACCTCCAAAGAGAATTCGGCTGCACTTCCTCCAGGACAGATCTGTTAGTTCTTTTAGCAGTCCATGGTACTCTCAGCATTCTTCACCAACACCACAACTCAAAAGCATCAATTCTTCTTCAGTCTCCCTTATTCATTGTCTAGCTCTTACATGCATATAAGGCGACTGAAAATACCATGGCTTGTATCAGGCGCACCTTAGTCCTCAAGGAGACATCTTTGCTCCTCAGCGCTTGAAAGAGGTTCTTTGCAGCCAATTTGCCAGTGCTATACATCATCTGATGTCCTGACTGCTGCTACCACTGGCATCGATTGTAGAACCAAGCAGTGTGAAGTCTTTGACAACTTCAATCTTTTCTCCATTTATCGTGATGCTGCTTATAGGTCCAGTTGTGAGGATTTTTGTTTTCTTTATATTGCCATGTAATCCATACTGCATACTATATTCTTCAATCTTCATCAGTAAGTACTTCAAGTCATCCTCACTTTCAGCAAGCTAAGTTGTGTCGTCAGCGTATCGCAGATTTTAATGATTCTTCCTCCACTAATGCCACGTCCCACCCCTTACCTGGATCCTGTAGCTTTTGTGGTCCCCAG